TAATTAAAAAATGTGTGTGTAGTTAATTAAAAAATTATGATTACTAATTTTTTCCCAAAGGTTTTGATGAGCAAAACATTCTTAACACATACATTATTCTATTTTAAAATAATATTAATATAAATATTAATATAATAAAATCCTATTTTAAAATATTATTTTAATATAAAAAACGGTACTACAAGGGATCGCATTATTATTCATCTCTAAAAAAACAAATGAATATTAAATATAATGACAAATTTTTTACGATTTATTATAGATATTAGATAATAGGCCATAGATAAAAAACGTTTTTGTTACCGCTGAAAGTCACATATCCTTGACACTTGCTCCAAATAATAGTTGTAAATATAATCCAAATGAAAAAGCGGACAAACTCGCTGATAGTATCTCGGTGACATAGAATAAGAAAGAGACTAATGTTGAAAAATAAGATTAGGTAATTAAAGATTTATATATATAGAGATGAGTAATATATGACGTACGTAAAAAATTTACAAATAATAAATTCATTCTATTATATCAAATAACATTATTATATTTTATGAGAGAGAATCATGTTTCACAGAATTATATTTCAAAATTATTTATTCATACATACATATACATATGTTTATTCTCTGTGTGTCATCGCACTTCTTGCGATCTTCACTTCTCCAATAGCGTCCGTCAACGACAGCAATATGTCAATCATTTAGATTGTCCAACAAATTTTTGGTGTTTCGTGTTCTATTAATATTTTGTTAAGTTTTTCAAAATCTCAGAGTATCGTTAAAGATCTTGCTTCGCGTGCCTCCTATCTCGCACGCGATCAGTGCCAAATTTGGAAATGAATTCGGCCGATTTCCGAAAATAGACATTATCAGACAACGAGAATCAAACCTCCTTTCGCAATTAACGAAAATACCAAGCCGAACGAACGGCCGATTCATCACGCCGCCACCTGCCGCGACTTCTCCACGCAACCGGAGATGCAGCCGTGTAAGTGAGTCAGAATGCATGCAAAGCCGAGGAGAGAGGAGCGTGATCCAATTAACCATGCGATTGCTTTGACTTCCTTACCTATATTCCGACCGGGGGGTTGCGCGGGAATTGTGCCGCGGGGGTGTGCCTGGTACGCTGTTCGTAAGCTACCTTTCAACCATCACTTGCACAACTCACGTGTCCAGGAACGTTTCATCCGCTTTTATTGCCCAGGTTAACGCGACCATTAAGTTTAGTACTTGTTTGTCATATATATGTCAATTTCCCAACAATTAGGAGATACTCGAAAGCGTATCTTATACACAATCACAATTGTTTTCAACACTTCCGTCAAAATTTTCCTTCAAACAACGATTAATTTTTTTAACTTTATATAACTATAGTCCTACAATAAAAACAATTGACATAAATTTTAATTTTATAAAAATTTTGTTTATTATACGACGAAGATACATCGAGTTTTCTGTGAAAACTCAACCTTTTCTCGATTGGTCTCAAATGATTGGCTTTTTAATAGCTCATTGTCAGGGGAAGAGAACGAGGGATTTCATGAAATGATTTTCGCGGTGAGATATCAATGTGATCCAATAGCTTTTAACAAGGGCGCCTTAAAACATCCCTGCGGCGCGCGCCTGCGAAATATCAGATTCTACCATCTGACTCGCGTGTGTCCTCGTCGTCATCGTTCAGTCTTGCCTCCACTTCCATCCGTATATCATCTTCGCTCAGTTCTCTTCATCGTGTGATTATGCTCTATTTATTTTTCCGCTTGATTCTTTCAAAATAACAATCTTTAATTAGTCTCGAGCGAATACTTCTTGATATACCTGCAAGAGATGTACTCATCATTGGAAAAGTATCGAGGATTCAACAGGTATCAGAAGTGTCGCAGTGGGTTTCGTCACGACTTATTGGATTGTATTGAAAATTAAGCATGCGCTTTTCATATTTACATTAAGTTCTGTTTTCGAGAATTTTACAGTTTATATGGAATATTTTAAAGATATATTTTTAATAATATAGATTTTGTTATCCCCAAATCAATCTAAATAAATTGTAAGTATAAATATATTTACGCGCAAAAGCAGTTTCAGATTAAAATAACGATAATAGCTTCCTTTACACACCTTTTGTTGAAATCTGTGGAGCGATGAAGAATTCGTAAGAATCAGTGATACGCGGGAAAGCTTTGCGGTTCTCAGATCCGTTACATGAATGCCAACAATGGGTCTTCTTCAAATCTGGAAAATTCAAGCGAGAACAAAAAGAATACGAAAGAAATTATCAAAAACGAAGATGAAAATTCCGAAGAGAAAGTAGTGATAAACACGGATGCAACAAATTGTGATATTAAAACTCTGGAAGGTTGAAAAAATTTATTAAAATTATTTTTGAAAATATAAATAAATCAAGTAAATGTAATTTTAAATAACTTTCTTTATAGAAGAGCCAGATTGTTCAGATAATAAAATCGAATCATCTTTAGAACTGCCTTTAGAACCGACCCTTCACGAACGATTTTTGCGTATCAAGCAAATCGTGAAGGACGCTATAACTGCCCATCATACTTTTATGATTTATGGCAAGTCACGGGTCATTCGCGATTGCATGCTGAAAAGAGGATGGAGCGAGAAATTTTATCGCAAAAACAACGGCGGTATAATAAATCATTCTGCAACACCCCGCAACTTCTAATAGACTTCTTTATTTTAATAAAAAAATTGAACACTTATACTTTATAATCTGTATTTTATATTTTTAAAAATAATAATCGTTTCAGCTGATCAGCATTTTAGCGTCGAATGCAGTCCGGCAGTTTTACTGGCTGGAATCAGCGATTTGAAGGATGAACAAAACGAACGTTTATTGATATCAAGAATGCTTACCAATCATACTGTCAATTTCCTCTGGAATACGGGGTCCGACTGGCCCGGATGGCCCGCGCAAGATAACAAAACTACTGTGTTCAATCGATATTGTCGAGCTGGTTTTACGTCCAAGGTATCATTAGCATATCATAATTGCTATGAGATTTTTAAATTCTATTTATAGACATCATAATCTAGAATTTACGATTCAAATATAATGCGGAATAATCATTTTCTTAATTTTAGTAAAAAAATTAATTGCAAAAAATTTGTTTTGTAAAAAATTGGCGACCTTAATTCACACACAACACACACAATACAGACGTTTGAAAAATGTTTGCAAAGTATAGAAGTGTTTAAATAAAGGATATAGCATGTTGTTTTCGAGAATAAACACTTTTGACGAGCGTGCTGACGAATCGTTAGGGAAAAGTTGCATGTACTTCTTCGAAAATCAATTATTCAGGTGGGCTTGTGTTCAAGCGTCAGACAAATGCACTGGTATTACGAAGCTGGAGTGGCTAACACTTTATTTCCACGTTGCTACAACATATGTCAGAGCGACCAGATGCACGCCTTCGTCGAGGACTTTCGGTGAGTGTTAGTCAATTGTCTATTAGATATATAATTATTCAATTAATATATTGGCTAATAATAAAAATTTATAAATTATATTTTGTTAGACTCACAAGTTGCTTGAGTCTTTTGAAATGGTTAGTAGACAAAGTCAACGCCGAGGGCGAAGACATCGTATGTTCACCAACTGGTACGATACCTCTCAAAGCTCTCGATTTTGCAATCAAAAGATGCAATGATTATATTAGTACCCAATCGCACGTAGACATCGATCAAGAGGGTGAGAGAGTCTGGTCTCATCAGTGGGACCAATTTATTAGCTGGTATTACCAGATCATTCATGGTCAAGCTGTCTTCATTCGCACCAATGTACTCTTTAACGTGAGATATCTGTCGGCAAACAATAATTTCTTTATTGTTTATATTCACTTTACTTATTATTTATCATTCAAAAGATTATATTATATCTGCAGAAATATGTTCTGGCTTCAAAGCACACATTAAAAAAGATGAAACAATACTGGCCGCAGATAGATATGGATGGCGTAATGAACATGTGGATCCTGAAACCTGGGAACAAGAGCCGAGGACGCGGTATTGTTCTAATAAACAAATTGGAGGATGTGATGGCGAAAGTAAATCAAACAGGCAAACCAGACACACGATACGTTGTGCAAAAGTACATCGGTAATAAAACTTTCAGATTAATAATTAGAAAGAAATAGCCGATTATTCTCAGGCATTTATTTTAAATACAATTCTATTAAAAACAATTTGATTATTTCTCTGCTAGAACGGCCATTATTGATTCACAATACAAAATTCGACATAAGACAATGGTTCATCGTGACATGCGCTCAACCTTTAACTCTCTGGATGTACAGGTATATAAATATATCAAGGATTTTTAGATAAGTCACGACATTTTGCAACATCTGGCTCACGCCAGAACAATTAGCGGGCACAATAGCCATTTGACTGTAAGAAATAAATGATAGAGCTCCGGAACTAGGGTAATAATCAATTTATGCCTCGCTGACATTAAAACAGTCCTGTTTCCCTGGTAGTTAATTTTGCGGATATAAATATCCGCAGACAGTGCACATATAAAATGCATTATCCGCTATTCTCTCATTTCTCTATTTAATTGCCGCTAGCGCAAGGTTCGTCATTTTACTGCTTATTTACAGAGAGAGTTATCTCCGCTTTTGCTCGCAAAAGTTCAGTTTGGATGACTTTCACGAGTCGATCCATCTGTGCAATCACGCGATTCAATGCAAATACAATAACTGCGGCGACAGGGACCCCGCTCTACCTACGGACAATATGTGGGACGCCACGACATTCAAGGAATTTCTCAAGTACGATTTACGTCATACGAAGAACTATACTCGCGTACTCTTCTAAAATTCTCACTTTTTCTTATTGTAAATGTTCTCTATATCCGTCTTCAATAAAAAAAATAATATGCAAGAAAAATTCTTGTGAATGTATGATTGGAATAATAATTCTTAGAGTTCTCATAAAAATTCTGCAGATCTCAAGGTCACGGTGATGTATGGGATAAGCTAATCTATCCTGGAATGAAACAAGGTTTGGTGGGCTCGTTATTGGCTAGTCAAGAAGCTATGGACCGACGGAAAAATAGTTTCGAACTTTATGGCGCCGATTTTATGATCATGGAGGATTTTTCTGTATGGCTAATCGAGATCAACAGTCATCCGGACATGAGCTATTCCACCAGTGTCACTACGCGATTATGTCGACAAGTGATGGAAGACACCATTAAAGGTGAATGATGACTTAATTAAAAAATCGCTTTTTTCTAAATTATTACACAGATAATTATAGCAACAATCACATTTTTTCGGCAGTCGTGGTAGACTTTCGAGAAGATAAAAATGCGAATACCGGAGAATGCCGAGCTGCCAGCCGTATTTGGGAGCCGCTTTGTCACTTCAGGGTACCCGTCTCACCACTTACGAAAAGAAATTGAGTTTGAATCAGGATTCCAAAGCCAGCTTAATCGCGAGGTCTCCGATGGTGAGCTTATAAAGATAACAAATACTTTAATGTTGTAAATTTTGATAGCATTTTATTCACGTTCTTAGACGAAAAAGAAGACGGTAGTACACAACAACATCGGGCCCGTAATCGTCGATCTTATTGAGGAACTACAGATCCAGCTTGATCAAGAATTGTACTCTTCTTATAACACGGACTCGTCCAAATCGAGACTGGCACTTCCGGCGACAGCGCCTACGAAGCCTTCAATTTCTAATGAGAAAGCGGAAATTCTCATAAAGAGTACTTCGGCAAACATAAAATCTATCAATAAGATAAAGTCACCAACTTTGTCCAGAACTAACATTCAGGTAATAAAAACTCAATTATAAAAAGCAACATCGAAATAAAAATTATTACTTGACACTTTCGTTATGTTCCACGGAATAATCAGATTAAACCTTTGAGAAACGGAAAAAGTTCTCCGCATAAACCGGTACGAAAGTCACGCACATTCGCCGATCCTGCAAGCAACAAATTAGATACGTCTCCGACGAGACCAACGTTGATATCAAAAATCATGGCTCTTCAGGAGCAATCAGCAAACATGATGCCTAAATCTGAAAAACCATCGAGAAAAAATGAGGAAAAGGTTTGCGTTTCATATATACAAATTTCGTATCTTTCGATGTGCTTAGAAATTTTTATGTTTTATTTTTCGTTTTCTTTATTAGATCATCAAAACTGCGATGCGAGACGCCGTAAAAAAGTACAAAAGAAACGTGACGATTTCGCCACAAATACCGCCACTGCCGACCTTACTTACGCCAACAACGAAAGTCATCTCCGCGTCAACGATTAAGAGTAAGACCCGCAGCTTTCCGAAGAAACGAATGCATCATAAAAAAAATAAAGTTCTAGAGGATATCACCGACATGTACGCTATCGGTTTAAGTTTGACCAAATAATCGAAAAGTCTATCAATCCATCTGTTATTCGTTATCTTCCTCTTTACTGTTGATTAATTCTCAAATTCTATCTACACAAGTGATATATGTATACAATCAATAAATGTTACCATTATACTACTAGCAATTATTTTACTCTCACCATCGTAAAATGTTTTATTATATGAGATATCGAAAAATATCGAAACAAAATAAAAATTCTTCGAATAATGAAAATAAAAATTTAAGACGATTTTGAGAAATTCTTTCTCTCATAATTCAAATTTTAATTTATATTGTTTTAAATTTCTTGTATAAAGATACCTTGAAATGTCGCGACAAACAAATACAAATTTTTCCAATGTTAGTGCAACTGATAGCAGAAATAATAACTCTACACAAATAAAAGATCAAGATATAAGAACTGTCGAAGAGATTATTCAAAAAATGAATGAAAACGATGATGAAGTTTTATCAAAAACGCTTTCAACTTTTCCCTCAAAAAATCAATTGGGATATTCGGGTGCTAAGCATCCTCAATTAGACAAATATAAAGAACATCAGAAATTGTCTGTCACAAACTCAAGATATCAGACTGATGAGATTCAGAAGCCAATCTTTCAAAATCCTGCAGTAGAGAAATACTTGAATGAATCAATGAAAAAAACATTAAAGAGATACAAAAATTAATAACAAATAAAAAGATTTAAATAAAATACAAGAATAACAGGCTTGCATTAATTTGGGAATATAAAATGTATTTTCGAAGATATTTATTATAGCTAAAGATTCACGCCATAAAACATGAATGTAGGTTATCGAGTCACGCGATAATCGATAAAAGTAAAACGAAAGCAGTAAGTAAATTGTCGCTTTCACAGCAAATTGTCAAATTTGAAGATCAAATATTTTAAAAAATTATTTAAATAAAAAATATAAAAAAACTTTAAATTTGCATGCAACATGCACTGCGACAACAACAACAATTCTATAATTTGTGCAGATAATCAATCTAACAATAAATGGCAAATAACTTTAACGTCAAAAAATTGCACAATTAGAAAACAGCTCGAAGGTTGGCAGGTTTGCATCAAAAGATTCTATGGATGCAAATTCCTGATTTATTTTACCGTCAGCATTTTTTAATTTTATAAAATTGCAGATCTATCCAAGGAGCGCAAGCAATGGAGAAAAAAATTTACAATTACTTCTAACAGTCCCAAAATTAAACATTAATTCGCAATGTGCGGACGAGGGGATAAAAACTGTGGATGCTGAGATTTGTTGCAATCGCGAGAATCTAGAAGAATTATTAGAAACGGAAGATAGAGAAAACGATCAGGAAAATGGGAATATAATATTGACAGAATATTTAAAGTTAATAACAAACGACGAAACAAAGATAAATTTTCTATTAAAGATCTTGACGAGAGCCATAACTGAGCATAAATATTACATAATCTGCGGTACGTTTCCGGTTCTGAGAAAACCATTGGCAGATAGAGGCTGGCTCGAAAAAAAAGCAATTAAAAAAATGATTTCTATGATTCCCGAAATATATGAAGGTTGTATTTTAAATACTTTGTTAACGTTCGAAGTAAATTAATTTGAATGTTTACAGATGGCTTAGAACAAATCAAAAAATTGCTTCAATCTCCTGCTAATTTTATATGGTATACGAATAAGAAACCTAATATAAGAACAGACGACAAGACCATTGTGAATAAATTTGCCGGCAGTTACTTTACGTCAAAGGTAATTTAATTCAAAAACATACTACGTAGTGTGGAATTCATAATTTCTAATTAATGAAATATTTAGATTGACATGTGTAACAATCTGGAAAATGCCTATTGGTTTTACGAAACCGGCGTATCAAATATACAGTTTCCACGATGCTACAACATGTATCAAGTATAAATGTCGCACGTATGAAAATTATACAATATTAAAAAATATATATAAATTATATTAATACATATTAAATTATTTCTGATAGTCAGCACAAATGAACGAGTTTATACAAGATTATTACATTACTGCGTGTTTTGGAATTTTAAAGTGGTTTTTGTTACTCACCAATTTGGTAGGAGCAAAGAACACCTGGTCCCTGCATGGAACAATCCCCATAGATGCAATTTTGTTCGCCTTGGAACGCTGTATAGAATATATAAGGTTGCAAACAATATTATTCGTATTATACAAATGTATTATGCTTTGTACGAAACTCGTTTCCAGCGTCCAAACACACGAGGACATAGACCGTAAGAATTGTGAGGATGTTCCTCCATCCGCATGGTATCAATTTCTAGATTGGTACTACAAAATAATATACGAACGTGTTTTATTGAAAGAAAGTGATAAAGTTGATGTAAACGTGTGTATAAATATATTGTAATATTTTCTCATAATATATAATATGTATAAATCTTGAGAAGAAAAAAATGTGATTAAAGAATTTTGGAATTTATAGGAACTCGTAACATCTGTACGCAATGTATTGAAAACAATGATAAAATATCGATCGCAAAGTAGGATCGACGGTATACGCAATATTTGGATTTTGAAACCGGGCGACGACAGTTTGGGACGCGGAATTGTTTTAAAAAGTTCTATGGTCGATATCCTCGCCAAAGTAAATCAAGCAGCAAAGGAAAATATTAAATATGTTGTACAGAAATATATAGGTATCATTTAAAAAGATAATTCATATTTAACATAATAATATAAAACATACAATGAAAAAATGCAATGTTCTAAAAAAAATGTCATATTCTGATTATAATTTTTATAGAGCGACCACTGCTTGTCCATAGAACAAAAGTAGATATTAGACAGTGGTTCCTGATAACAAGTACACAACCTCTTATCGTATGGATCTTCAAGTATTTCGCATTCTATTACCTTTGTAACGCATACTTTTAGAGCTTCTAATAATTTAGATTATTTAATCAGGGATATCTTAATACGATTCGCGTCGAGAGATTTCACTCTTAGCGATTTTCACGAATCCATTCACTTGTGTAATACAACCGTGCAGCTAAAGTATCGAAAGTTACCGAGATGCAACTCCGATTTACCCAAAGAACTTCACTGGAATCTTCAAGATTTCAAAAATTATCTCCAGTATTTCTCCAGATTTCCAAAAGTTATCTCCTTTCTTGCAAGTCATTAAAAATTGCATAATTGATTAATTAAATTGCTGATTTAGATCGCGCGATCAAGAAATGGCTTGGGAAAAAATTATTAGACCTGGAATAAAGCAAAATCTGATAGGAGCACTTCTGGCATCTCAAGATAACATGGTAAACCGTAAAAACAGCTTTCAATTGTATGGAGCTGATTTCGTAGTGGCAGATGATTTTTCGGTATGGCTGTTAGAAATAAATACAAATCCACGATTGCATCCGCCAAGCAGTGAAGTCACCGCGAAACTCTATCCGGAAGTCATAGAGGACGCGATAAAAGGTAAGTTATTTGAAAAATAGAAGAATACGTCAATGTAAATATAAAGGTATATAAAAATATTATATAAAATCATACTATTATAATCTTTAGTGGTCTTAGATCTTCGTAAAAATAAAAAAGCACCTTGCGGAAGATTCGAATGTATTTACAAGCAACGTAATCCGTTTTATGGCGTCAATGTCTTGGGGCAAGGTACGAGTCTTGGCATTCGTGGTAAAGGTTTATTTATGACGCCGAAATTGCCGCGAGATCTCTGACTCTAACACAACCGTAACATTGCCGAAATACGCTTCTCCGAAAACCTATTTCGCACAGAACTGTTTTAGTTCCAATCATAATCCGTCCAATCCTAATGCAAGCAATTTCGTATTAGCATATAAACAATGCGTCATGGATTGCTAGGTAAACGTATTGAAAAAGCACATTGGTATTCTCTTTTTTCGTTACATGACGCGCGATTAACAGAATAATAGCAAGTAATTTATTACAAACATGTTTATTTTACAAGTAACAGTACGCGGTAGGTATACAATCCTATATGGATAAATATTTTTTTTTTCGCAGAACAATGAATATACATTACTATGATGTAAGGCTATGTCATATCCATATATTATTCACGTACACAATCACTTAATTTTACATCGCTATTATTCTTTTAATTTGTCTTTTTATTGTAAAATCATCATTTCATTCTCATTTTGCAGAATAAATACATTTTTGTCAGATTCTAAAAATGTGGATGTGTATAATCATAATTGTAAAATAGTTGCTTGATTATATCACACTGCTGTGAAAATTGTTTATGTTATTATATTTCAGATATTCAGATTCATATGTTATTATGTTCATAAAATAGATAACTGTTGAAAAAAATGAAAATTATAATGGCGATTATTATTCACGATGTCTTGCGTAAAAAATTACATTTAATTTAACAATATGAACAATTAATTCACTATTTTTGCAATGCACATGATTTAATTCGTTTCACTGAAATAAAATATTGCATTTCTGTATATTAAGATGATAATAGAGGATTTATAATGTACAAATTACATATGTATAAATCATATAGAACACATTTAAATAGGCTACAATACACTTACATCAGATAGAACGCGACACAACTGTTTAAAAAAATATTTCAAAATATGATATATAAAGCTAAAATCTTTTTTCAAAGGTATATTTTAGTTAAAGATATTATGTGTTTTTTACCATTATATATACTTTTACATGATTAAAAACTTGTTTTGTTGTGTTCATACTGATGTTAGCGTACTCTCGCATAATGTGAAATCCCATTTGTATCTGTGTTGAAACCTCACAAGATGAGAATTATTTAATTCTGATCATCCATCAACATCACAATCAAATAAAATACAATCTTGCCTGATTTCAACAACTATTTTGAATACATTAGGGTGAACTTTGGATCTTACGTTACTGCATTCGTCTACAATGTACTTATGTAGGTGCGGTCTGTAACGACTGTTCCCGCGAACCAAATACAAAAACTGACAAGATTTTGTGTACATATCACATCAAACTGTATGAAACAACACACACTCACGTAACCGATTTTAGGGTGAAGGATAATTTAGGCCTCGAATTATTTTTGCCTAAGATCCTCTTCTGTTCCTCCTTAACGCGTTTTTCATGCTCCTTTCTCATTTTTTGCCTTTCTTCTTCCATTAAACGCTGTTCTTCGACCATAGCCAATCTTTCTTCAGCCTAATGTTAAGATTGAGTTAAATATGCATTTAATTGCATATTTTACTTCTTTTTGTAAAATGTATTAATGTCGATAACTCACCAATTTCTTCTGAGCCTCTTCTATCTTTCTGTTGTTCTCCTCCATAATCCTCTCTAGTTCCTCACGCTTCTTCCGCTCT